TAATTTATTTGTATTCTAAATTCTACTTAAGATAGTCGGACAAGCCAAATTTAACATGTTTTTTTTTAACTCTAATGTATTAAATTATTATACATTTTGATTTGACAAGTTTACATATATAAATTAATTAAATGATAAAACTAAATTTTTAAAATTTATATTATTAATAAAAACGATATTATTGACCAAAAAATTTGATAACAAAAGAATCAACAATAATGTCTATAATAAAAAAAATTGTGAACAACTACATATTTCACATTTTTAAAAACTAAAATTAAAAACAAAACTATATAAATAATTTATTCGCGTGTACCCGGGAGAATCACCTAGTACATATGTAATTGTGGGTGTAAAAGGTTTATTCATATCAAACTTGTGGACTTAATAATATATGTAACTGCGGGTGTAAAAATTTAAGAGGAAATTTGGGAAAATACCTTCTTTGTGTTTTTAAATTTGAAAATTATACCTTTATTTTTATTTTTTGAAAAATACACTATAAGAATATGAAATTTCCTAAAATAACCTTAGTAAAACTGAATAATAATTTATATAGTTTTAAAAAATATTTTTTTAGGATAATAAGATTATATATTATTAGTTTTTATTTATCATAGAACAACATATATTTATATCTAAGATGTTGATGCTACTAAAGAATATGTAATTATTTTTAACTGAACCAAGAAGCTAAGACCAAACCATTTTTTTGGTTAAGATAATGAACTTGTAATTAAGAAGAAAATTAAACGGTTCATTTAAACCAATCAAATTGACAAAACTGATTGGTTTGAAAATTGCATATTACTAATCAAATTCTTATATCCTTTTTCATACAAAATCGTAAATGTTCTTATGTATTTTCCTCTTATATTGTTGATCAATTTTTTTACCGTAGTATCTACCGTAATTTATATTCGTTACCGTCGTATGTTTTATCACCGTCATATCCAATATAATGTTTACTTGTTGTCGTTGTATCTTTATGTTTTAGAACGGTTTTGTGTTGTGTTGTGTTGCATACTGTATAATTAATTATTTGTTATTCATTCATTTCACATGTTCATATACTTAAGTAGTGATTTAGTTTAAAGAAAAAAAAAACTTTGCAGATTATTTTGAATAGAGCTATTGAATGTGGTCAAGATGAAACAAGAGTCAACTATTCTCTTTGTTTACATAAGCAATCGTAAGTTTAAATTTGTTTGAAAAATAATATTTGATATATTTTAGTAGATTTATCTAATGGTAAATTTTAAAATT